CGGTCTCGGAGGTAGCCAGGTCCTATGCCATGGAGCGCTTTAAAGGTGGTAACTAACACCTTAAAGCGCACCCGGAAGGCCACTGGCAACCAGTGCAGCTCGCGCAGCAGCGGTGTTACATGGGAGTGACGAGTCCCTCCCAACACCGCCCGCGCGGCCGCATTCTGGACCAGTTGAAGCCTCCGGGTGCTCCTCAAAGTTAGTTAGTATATATGTTTATAAATGAGAGCAAAATGGAATTTGAATGTTGTTACTGTGTATACATTATTCCAGGATTCACTACTTTATAGTCTTTCATATGCCAATAAAATCAGATTCCTGTGTTGGTAGTGGAGCAATGTTACGTTGCAGAAGGCAAAATGATGTGCATCTATCCAGTAACTGGATATAATAATAACAAGATGAGACATTAATATTTTTATTTCTATTCCAGATCAGCTTCAAAACATGTAGCTAAAGATCTTGGAAATATAGAGGAAAATAAAAAGTTAGAAGAAAACAATCATAAATTGGAAGCTTGAAATACCAAACCATTTGGTTGCCATTCCAGGTATGTTTAACAATTTTATAATGTATTATCTCCTCTGAATATAATTTAATCCTTGCAATAGTTAAATTAGGAAATAAGGAATTTCTTATATGTATTCCTATCAAGAGAAATGCAAGTTTAGCCATTTAAAATTTAAAGTGCCTTTAGCAGCAATAATTTGTTGGCATTTTCAATGTTTAGGAAAAAAATATGTTCTAAAATGTGCTATAAGTTGCACTTTATAGCCAGCTGAACCAGTGCTGTCTTAGACAATCTCGTAGAGAGCATAGGGAGTAGCCTTGAAGAAAAGCAGGAAAAGTTACTATCATGGCAACAGTTGGTTAAGCGGGGTTTCAGCCAGGCCAAGAAACTAATTTGAGAAAATGTCTCAGACAAGCCTGTCTCTAGTTCACATGAAAATAAAGTAAGAGAGGGAATAAAGTAAGAGAGGCTAGCAAGATTTTGTTACTATAGCTGTCACAATATAAGTATTTCTGATTTATATTCACTGAATGAACCAGGAACTCCATGCAAGCAGTTGATTCAACTCATTCCAAGTCTGAAATACACCACCAGGAGGAAATATTAAGCATCTATGTAGGCAGTGAGAAAGTCTAGATCAGTGGTGGTGAACCTATGGCACACGTGCCAGAGGCGGCACTCAGAGCCCTCTCTGTGGGCACACAGGCCCTGGAGATGGCAATCATCCCTCTTCAACCAGCCGCCCACTAACTCACCAAGGTCCCTCATGGCCGGATGCATCCCAACACCCATGCGCTCGCTGGGCTCTGTGTGCAGAGCTCGATGGTGTCAGGCAGCAGCCGCCCCTGCCCCTGCCATACCTTTCCCTGTGACAATGCCACTCCCGCCCTGCCTCGCCTTGCCTCGCTTCACCCCGCAGGACAAGCCTCCTGCCCCCCACCTGGCAGAGACCCCCTGGATCTCCCCCAACCTTGCCCGGCCCCCACAGGCGTCCCTCCCCATGAGCAACATCAAGGTGATCACACCCACCTTGGCCACTCCCACCCAATCTGCCATGACCACCGCAGCCACGCCCACCCAATGGGCCATGCCCACCTGGCACCCAGTGATAAATAAGTGGGTTTTGGGTTGCAGTTTGGGCACTTGGTCTCTAAAAGGTTCGCCATCACTGTCTTGATCAACAATTTGGTTCATTCCGATGTGTTAATTTTGTGCCATTTCAAAGAAAAGGTTGATTTCTGAAATCATATGAGTGATCATAAAACTTCAAGGTTCACTGTGAAAGTTTTATTGATTTTACAGATAACTCTCTTTACATTACAGTCTGAATGCCACCATTGATGCACAGTCAGTTACATTTTCTGCCATTTCACATTGTGACTGTTGTGTAACATGGCTTGTAATTTTTAGGCAGGAGTAATAGCTATTAAAATATTAATTAAAATTTTACATGGTTCTATCAGGGAAGAGAAGAGGCCTCCCTGTTTTAGAAATGCACAATTATTTGGCCAGTATTTATGCTTAAATAGTGTATATACATATAGAATGAGTCCAAATGTCCTGGAAACTTACCTGTTAATCAGGATTTATATCATGCTGTCAATTAGATTTCCTGAAGAAGTAGGTTGGAAACAGATCCTCCTGGGAGAAAAATCTGTCTGTGTTGTTATGAAAAATTGACACCAACTTGATGGTATATACGGATTGTCCTTGACTTACAACCACAGTTGGGACAGGAATTTCCATTGCAAGTCGAGTCAGACCCACTCTAATGACAAGTTTTATAGCAGTCATTAAGCTAATCACCATCACATGGTTGTTAAGTTAATCGTGTGGCTGTTAATGAAATCCAACTTTCCCAATGGGTTTTTTTTTTGCCATAAATCAGCAAAAAAGGTAGAAAATTGTGATCATGTGACTGTGGATGCTACAACCAGTCGTAAACGTGAGCATGTTGCCAAAACCTGATTTTTTTCTTGATGTCACATCACAATCTTGTAATGTAAATCTATATTTTCTTGTCCTGACTTCTGGAAGTTCTTAACTATTCTTCATCTTCTACATGATAGAGCTTCAAATGTTGGAAGACTGTTCCTCACAGTCTTCTGTTTCCCTCACTAAACCTCAGAAAAAAAAATCACTAGTTATCTGCTTTATAAGCACAAAGCAATGTACAAGTTGAGATAGTTCAGTATGAATGTTCTCAACGAATTTTTGAAAAATTCTTAAAAGCAGTGTAATTGGGGAACAGTGTTAAACTATTTCTGGAAACGATCATAACTTTCTGGAAGCAAGGTATTATATGCTAGGCTGCATTAACAGAGGGATAGAATCAAGATCACGTGAAGTGTTAATACCACTTTACAATGCCTTGGTAAGGCCACACTTGGAATACTGCATCCAGTTTTGGTCACCGCGATGTAAAAAAGATGTTGAGACTCTAGAAAGAGTACAGAGAAGAGCAACAAAGATGATTAGGGGACTGGAGGCTAAAACATATA